TCCATCAGTATGTACTTCGTTCAGTTTGCGTATTGCTCTCAAGCCATTTTAAGCCATTTGAAAGAAAATTGTATATTTGTCAATTATATAGAGCCAGTAAATAAATGTCCAAGTATCAAACTGTTTATAACAAAAGCAAGAAAAACTTAAGAAATATATATATGTACTTTTATGTATAAATGTGTTTGTAATAACATCAGTTTGTAAACTTTTAGACAATAAGTTTTCAAAAATAAATAAAACCACAAAATAAAATAAAACTACAACAAAAATATTATTTATGCTATAAACACAAATGTTTAGCTGTGATTAGTTTGTTTGGTTTTACTAGACTTCAATAACATTCGACTTATGTAATTTTATGTAATATATAGTCAAATATGTACTTATATTTATTTAAAGCAAACACATTTTAATTTAAAGTATAAAAAGTTTGAAAATTTGTTTTAAAATATTACAAATTTCGTTGTTGAAACATACAGATGCAATTTCCAAACCTGCCTCAATACACTGAAAGAAATATTGTACGAAATACCTACCTAAAAATATGCAAAATTATAAAACATATAAATAAAAGTTGAAAACATATTGAAGTTTTATGAAAAGTTTAAAGTATACATACATATAACTGTTTTCGAGATTTTAATTTATTGTTAAAAAGTTAATTATATTAAAGGCAAGCGAAATACTAACTCAATGTATAATACTTTACATAAATCTTCAATTTGACAAAACAACATAACTCAATTTAGTATTTTTATGCACTGAAGCTATAAATGAGATTATTTAAGGAACTTTCAAACAATTTGCTATGCCAAGCTCTGTTTAGACAACAATTTCCTAAAATCGTTGTAGTAATTAATTTTCTTAGAAATATCAATTTAAATGAGTTCAGTGGAAAACCTCTTAAAATAGAAATAAGTTGTTTTACAAAATTCCAAAGATGTCAGTTATGTTTGTAGTTCAGCTACTTGTGAATTTAATAAAGGAATTATGTATGAATCTGGCATACTTTTCCAACTGCATGAATATCTCTACTTATCATTAAATACTTATTCAAAAATATATTTATACCATATATGTGTATTAAATAAAATAAAGTGTGTAATACACAAACTATATTGAAAGAATAAACAAATTTTGTTTCATTACACTAAGGTAAATAATTTTTGAAGCAAAAAAAATAAATAATTTTAGAAGGAAACCCATTGGACAAGAAGGATAAAATAAATAAAAAATTAAAGGAAAAACAAGAGAGAAGGTTGCGATTCAGCAGCGATTCGCAGATGGAAATTCGGTCCATCATGTTTTTTGCGTTAGTTCGTGTGACACCCAAACATCGAGCTCCTTTATGAATTCAAGGTTATGCAAATGGTTCCAAACGGTTTTCTGGCTTATCTTTAGTTCCTCAGCAATTAAATAAGTGCTCACGTGACGGTCTGTTTCCACTATTTTCATGATTTTATCGCAATTTTCGACGACAGGCCTCCCGACGCGTGGTGCGTCTTTGACATCGAAATTACCGGAACGGAACCTAGCAAACCACTTTTGTGCTACACGTTCGTTTACAGTATCGGGCCCATAAACTAAATTCGTTTTTTCAGTCGCTTTGGCTGCTTTTTCGCCTTGATCGAAGAAAAATTGTAAAATATAGCGAATTTTCTCTTTGTTGGTGTCCATCTTTGACGAGCGCTCACAACGTACTGAGTCAATCAATCAAAAAACTGTCAAAGGCGCGAATAAACACGTTTTCAGCGCCGTATAGTATGACATGATGCGACACGTAACACTAATACTATGGACAATAACGCCATCTCTTAGATAAAAACCGAACGAACTTTTTACCTTACCTAATATTATATAAGCCGAAATATCATAGATATAATTATTTGAGATATCTGTGGCATATCTGTTGGATGTTGTTTTTAAGATTGTTTTGATTGAAACAGTGATGATCAATTAGAAAAGGGTCTACCGGTGGACCTAAACCAAGTTGTTTATGTTTGTTTGCCATTATCTTTACTTAATTATCTTCTGAGATCATTAATATTTATAATGATTTTACTGCAGATAAAGTAATCGAAATTTTTGTATACTAAATTAATATTATTATTAAATACCAAAATATTGTATTATCTCGTATTTTGGCTCTAGTTTGTAATACCTCAAGAAGTATATAAGATTTTAACTTATAAAAACAGTACACAACTTATTTTGCTTCTATTGTAAAATTTATTGACCACACTGGCGCTAAATTTTTATTTATAACAGAATAGACTTTATCGGTTAACCATCATACTGGGAGTATGCTTTTTATAGCCTTAACAGGTTGCCACAAAGGAGACCCTGTAAAATATGTATCACAACTTAAAGATAACCCGATTCCTTTGCACATATTTCATATATTTAATTGGAACCATGTACAAGTGATAGATATATTCTTAAAAATGGAAAAATGTGTTATGATTAAGAAAATAAAGAGATCCAGAAATGTGTAAAATTAATATTTATATTTTCTCAGTGTAATAACTAAAAGACATATCTAAGACAACAACCATTTAAGAAGACTTTTTATTGCGCAAAAGCTTTAAGCACCAAAAAATACTAAGTAATAGCATGTGTTGGCCATGGTAGATAACAAAACTGTTAATTGAAATATTTTTTCGTTTCAAGAAGTTGCATATTTGTCGGAACCGCCGATATCGGGCCACTATAGCCTATAGCTGCCATACATACTGAACGAACTAAATAAAGTTCTTGTATGTAAAAAATTTTTATCTAATAAGATATCTTTCCAAAATTTTTCACGGTCTCAATATTTAAATAAACTTTTCAAATCGGAACATAACCAAGATTAACGGTTTTTCTTGTTTCATTTATTTTTTCAACTTATGTTGAAAACAAAATTTAAATTTTAAACCAAAAAAACTAAAAAAAAAATAACAACAAAACTATTTTTAATTAACATTTTTTTATTAGTTGAGCTAGTCTTAAGTCTTAAAAAAAGAAGCTCTGACAATTTATTTCAGGTATCACAAGGGGCATTAAATTTCTCTTAATCACGCTATATTGAAAGTTTATTAGAGTTCTTAAAACAATTTTAGATTCACACATCATCTCTTTCACGTGGGCATCGTCGGGTGCACGATGATTGTAGCAATTCATCCATGCTGAAACAAGATTAATAACGGGAACTAATTCCACCTTAGACTTGCTAGTAAGGAAGCTGAATGACCAAAACCCCACCACACTACAGTGGATTGAAAGGTGAACATTTCTTCATTACTCTACTAAATGAATAACGTTCTAAGGACACTAAAGTGCATTTTAAGTCAACAAATATTGAGTTTTGTAAATACTAAACTGGCCTAACTCCTTAAAAAATCGGGTAATGTAATAAAATATGTTCGTATAACTGAAGCTATACTGACGCGTCAACTATGAAAATAGAAGACTGCCGTTCAAAGGAAAAACTAGAAAAATCCACTTGTAAAGTCTGTACGTTGAGCTACCACTACTATATGACAACTTTTAAGGTATCATAATACTATTTTGAGGCCTTACTTTGATGTGTTGCCATTCGTGGTTTGGTTTGTACTGAATTGAAGTTTCTAAAACATTAGATAGTAAATGTTAAAGTTCCTTCATCTTAACATAAAGACTTAAAGAATGACGTTTATTGTATATAAGTTTTATTTTTGTTGATACAAAAGTGAATATCACAGTTTTAAGTGTCGAGCTGTTATAAGAAAACTCTTAAAAGTGGCAACGCTGTCCCGACCATTAACATAAAACGCTGCTGTTAACTTCGTTTGTGCTGTTCAAGCTCCAACAGACACCCATACATGCCGCTAAAAAGCTACAGTTACTCAACAGCGAACACAAGCAGCCAACGAGCGAACCGACAAACGAGCGAATGCACGCATCAGTTGAAGGAAAGCAATTGGGGTGTGCGTTTCGTAGAGGCGGAAAAATACCAGAGTGAAAGTTGTTGGAAGCAAGTGTCTATACACACGAATTTTTGCCAGTTCGTTTGTGCGTATGCGGCAACGATAGTCGAATTTCAAATTTGTTGGAATTAAATTAAAATTCCTTTGCATGCCAACCGAGAGAACCGTACAAAAACACATTGCGGTGATCAGTTGATTTTTTCGGTTAAATTGTGGAGCGCGTTTCATGCGTGTGCAAAAAATAAATAAAAGGGAAGTGGAGTGACGCTTAATTTACCGCTAAAGTAGTGAAGTGAAAAGTTAATTACGGCGTGCAGGAGTCAGCGCGGAGTCATAGAGCAAAAGCGAAGCATATGCCGGCAAAATAGAGAGCGCATGCTGCACTAAAGATACGCTTGGGATAGGTCCATATGCAGTGCCGAGTTGTTGTTGCTACTACTAAATACATACATACATACATAGTGTAGACACACGCAGCTTCCGAATTCGACAACACAAGTCGGTGGTAGGTGCAAGCGCGCTAAAATACAGTCAGTAAAGCACTGGGGTCAAAACTAACAGTCACTTGAGGTAGCGAAGAACCGAGTGCGTCGTTTGAGGGTTGAATTTGTGGCGCGCGTCCGTTTCCGGTGTACTCACTCGCTTTGTGGTTAACTATTGATGCTGTTTGCTTTGTGGCCGCTTTTCGGCGTTGAGCAGTGAGCGAGTTGTCGAGTTTTTGTGGGCGTGTCCCAGCAATTAAATAGATAGAAAATACTTATTGTGGCATTTTGGCAACAAAAAAAAAAAAAAATAAAAATTGGGAGAAAATTAAAATAAAAATTATTTTTGAAAAACTAAATTTCGAAATTGTTTAAAAGCGTTTTAAAAGTATTTGTTTCGTATATTGTGCTCGCACATAAACAAGCGTATACCGAAAAAGAACGCGCTCTAACGCCCAAAACGCTGCTATAGTTAGAGTTACGCTCCTAATTACTCCGAAAAAGGGAGTTATACACTTGCGCTCCAAATGACACAATAGTTGTTGTATGCATCAAGTGGAGTTTTAGAGATATATATATGTATGTGTATATGTGTTGTACTAGTTACTTCAAACCACAACAAATCGATGAACTTTATGTGTATTTGTGTGCAATAACAAGCCACAACTAGTTGGCGGGAATTCCAGCAAAAAACGCACAAAATAAGGAAAAAAAATAAATTAATTAAGAAAATTAATTAAAATTAAAAAAAAGTCACTTCAAACAGTAAGCAAATTTATCAAGCGCCCATAAGCCAATAACCCGATCGAGTTCGCGCTGCTGCTTTGACTACGAACAGCAGACACCAGTCCGTCACTCATCCAGCTATCCACCCATCCATCCATCCATTGAACCAACTATCCATCCATCCATTAGCTTCGCGCTCAGCTATTTCCTACCCATCAATCTATCAACGACAGTTATTCAATAGCAGATAGCATCGCAACGCATCACTCGTCACAGCGTTTTAGCGCAGGCATACCGGCAAGCAGCAGCAGGAGTCGCATTTGCATGTGAGTGTATGTGTGTAATTGCTTTTTACTCCTCTAACATATTTCATACTTTTTAATTATTTTTCTTTTTTTGGGTTTTATTATATAAAAATATGACCCCTCTTGCCACGCCAAATTTGAATCAATTGTGATGCTGGCATTTGTATAGATGAAAGAGTGACACACACAAATAAAATAAAATTGCTGATGAGTGTCAATATGCAAAGACACGCCAAGCGATAAGCAATAATGCACACATATGTATGTGTATAATTTTATATATTTTATTTGTGCGTGTCACTCTTTGGAAAATGCAATGTCTCTTTTATCAAGTTATGAAAGCGGAAGTAACACTTCTTTGTAATAACTTTTGGTATATCGTGAAAAACTATACATAAAGTAGTAGCTATGCAAAGAGAAAATAATTGTATTCAAATATCTCTCGGTCTCTATTACAAATATTACGTGTGAGCAATTTAAGAGTTCATTGCCAGCGGAGGAGCTATGATATTCGAAAAAGAATATTAAATTATGTTGAAAATTGTGAACCATGCTTTCTTAAGTAGCTAAATAATTGTCTATAAACTACATTTTTTTTATGAAAAAATTATATTTGCAAAATCAAGAAAAAATCCAAAATAAATAATACAATTAAATAAAGTCTAAAAATTATTAATATTTTTTTAATAAAAACTTTTAATATTGTATTTTTTGTTATAAAAATTATTATTATTGTTTTTTCAATTTCTTCGGCGAATCCAAGCATTTTCATAGATAATAAAGGGTGTTTATGTTAGTGGTACAGAAATTTCATTTCTAATTAACCCTGAAAATGCTTCAAATGAAGTTACAAATATTTGAAACAATTTTTCCGCGCAAAACCATCACTTGTGGTCTAATAACCAATGAGTTGTATTACTAGCACACAAATTCGTCTAACCAAGTCAAATCATATGACCTAAATAGCCTATCGACTTGGGAAAACTCTGTCACCAAACCTTGGTCTTAATCAAATGAAGGTTTCATGAGCTGTGTGGTTTGTTACACAGTCTTCCTGGAACTAATTAAAATGGGATTAAGGGGTAACATCCACTTGTCAGTTAGAAAGTTAGTTTTGCGTTTGTTTTTTTTTTTTTTAACAAAAAGTATTTAATATATAAAAAAAAATAATGTACATTTACAGCATTTAATGTTATTTTATAATGGGCGCTTCAGTTTTAAAATTTTTGATCCCTGGATACCGTAGCTCCCAGGAGAACCTCCAAAAAAATATGTCTGGCGGTGAGGAAAATTGTTTGCTTAATAATATTAAAGGCATATCAAATCCAAAAACCAAATAAAATCATTATTACTATAGTTGAATACAGGCAATGATCGAAGGATTAGTCAAACTTTTAATTTTTACAAAATGGCGGCTTTCCAAAAAAAGTAATTTGAAAGAAAAAATTTACACTTCAGAGTGGTTTAAATATGCTAAATATATTTAAGAAGGTCGTGTGAAAATTTTAAGTCGATCGGGAAAGTTTTAAAGTTTTGGTAGCCGATTACACTAAGATCACTAAGATTCTTACAAATACGCTCATATCTCCGAAACTATTTGCCAGATCAAGTATTTGGAGATATATGAACATTGTTGTATGCAAATCGAGGTTTTGATGTGGTATGGCCAATGAGAAAATTACCTGAAGTAAAAATTTATGATGGTAAAATAACGGGGCGAGTTTCGTAAATATTGTTCCCACGACAGTCGCGTCTACATAACCGGAATGAACCCGCATTTTTATTCGACCAAAGGCTGTCAACTCGGCAATATTTCTCAAAATGATTTGAGAATTGTTTTCTGACGATGCAACATTAATAGCACCTGAGGGATTAACCACACTCCAAATATGGCAATTTTATTTACGACTATTAACGTGTCCAATAATGGACAGTTTTCTTCGTAGATGAATTTTCATTTAATTTAAGTGTGAAATTTAAAAAATGTAATAAAGTAAAACTTTGCGAGAAATATTATTCTGAAAGATTTTTAACCCCCTATGTACACAATGATTAATTTTGACCTTTATTTCTCCTTAAAAGTTAGTTTTTCAGTAAGGTTAGATGATAAAATTATAGAGTAAAATATTCCTTAGAAAAGTTTACCTAAATTTTTTGGAGTAAATTACTACTATTTTGCATTTTTTATTGTCTTCGCCACGAACCATGAGTCGGTCTTTAAATTCGAAGCACTTTTGTCACTCTGATTGAGGTATCTCCAAAACCTGCGTTATGAACCCATCAACCGTCTCTTCAAGTGACGAAAAACGTTAACCTATTAGTTTATTTCTTACGCACAGGCATAAGAAGAAGTCACTTGACAATTGGGAAAGAGCATCTAATATAGATGATGAGATGTGAAGATTTAAATGTATATGTGTGAATGGGTATTAACATATTTATATTCAATTCCTCACACAACCGCTTCGTAGGAAGCCCACTGGACGAGTGAGCCACGTTGCACTTTATTTCATAACATTGACTCGACTCCGTGGCCTTTGGCAAACAAACAAATAATCAAACCTTTCCTTTCTTTTATATGTAGTATTATTAGTATATATAATATGTATTTACATCCTCATTCTTTTCATAATTTTTAACTCTTAAACATAGTGTCCATGATATTTGCTAAAAAGGACTTCATTCATACTTTCCTTCTTATCAGCCATCTCAATTGTATTAGCATTTTTGTATGTACATATAAGTTTAACCTAACCACAGTGCAGGCTACTTGAAAATAAAAGGACGAAGTTGCCATAAAATTATAATCACAAACAATGTATGCCAATCAAGTGTCCTCATCAATGTTGGCATGTCCCTATTAGCTTTGTCAGCAGTTGACTTTAGAATGCACTGTAAGCAAAAATAAACTGAAGTTAAACATAAACCACATTTATAAATAGCGCCAGTTATTTATAGTGCAGTCAAGTGCAGGGTGATCCGAAAAATTTGAATTCGTGTTTTAGCTCAAAATTAAGTTTATTTCTAGTAGATGTTTTCCTTCAAATAAAATTATTCTAGAAGTAGTAAATCGAATTAAACATTGCCTTTAACTTTTAATAGAAGCATGAGGGCTTCAGTTGCCAATTTTAATTTAAAAAATTATAAGTAATTTTCAGGTAACTTATAGAAACGTTATTATGTAACGTAAACGTCTTTGTCTATATGTCTTAAAAAGACTTTAAAATTTTATCAGTGGGTTAGGTTCATTTAAATAAAAGAAGGAACTTTCTAAAGTCAACCAGAGGCCCTAAAATTGAGCCCGAGATCATTTATTATCATTATAGTAAAAGAACTATAACAGAGAGCATGGAATCCAAAATATAATGAATATGTGTTTAAAGGATTCTGATATTATTTTTTATAAGAAATTTGCAGGGTTGCATTATAAACAATCTGCACGCAAAACCAATGTAAAGTAGTAGTACTCGTATTTCGAAACTTATCGTAAATAACACCGTTACTTCAATTCAGCTATTTTTCTGCTAGAAAATGAACATTAAAAATCATACAGCGAAAAACTTTTTAAACATTTTCGTATAAAATTTCAAAATTACTGGAATACAAATTTGTGTTTGAATTTGGAGAGAAAAATTTTTGAAGAAAAAATTTTATGTTTTTCTCAAAACATCCTGCCATATTAGACAAAAGTAGACAATTTTTGAAAACAAAGAAATTCATATTAGATTGAAACCCATCGAAAACGAAAGATAAAATAACAAGCATTAAGGGAAAAAATAGTTTACGGACGATCTGTGGTCGGGAAAGGGAAGGGGAGGGGCGGCGCTCCCTTTTAAGGGTTAAGAATGTTTTATCTCGATTTTAGGCACAACTACCTATAGTCCAGATTAATTTTACCACAGTAATGTATATATTTTTTATATAAAACATATATAGAAAAAGACGGCGAAAAGAACGAAAAGGTTTAATTTTCGAAAAGTTAGAAATCAAATAAGTAGTCTTTGTAAAAAGATTAAACTAAGTGCACATTACAAACTACACAGAAAAATATGCAAAGGGGTTTTCAAAGGATTATAGTCGAAATATTTAAAATGAAAGAAAGCTTACCTTAGTAACTGGGATATTCCCAATATTGTTACAACCTGAATGGAAATATTCTTAGCCGAATCCACCTTTCAATCCAACTAGGCTTATAGAAACTCTCTCGTTGAAGTTCGTTCATGAAAAAAGCTGGTTTGAAACATTATTTGTAAATAATTACAAATACAAACACAAACTTTTGAGTAAATATGTATATATATTTACACAGGAAGACTTATTGTGGGTGGAGAGTATTTAGACTGTACACAAATTTCGGTATTTTTTATGGTGTCACCACAATTTACATATCCATGTGGACACACCTACAAATTAATATGTGTTTTCGTTTTAAATGTAAATTTATTTCCCATGGTTATATAAACATATTGACAATGTGTTGTACTTGTATGTGTAGTCTGATCCTCTTAATCCTTATTGCTTGCCTGGCGCTCTATATATTTGTACTGATAGCTATACTATGTGTGCTATACCATACATGTACGCATGTGTATATATTTTTGTGGTTTTAAGCGGAAACTTTATTTTGCTGAGCTTCAATTTTTGGTAGAAACCTCGATGGACGATGGTTAAAGGAGATTAAATAAATAGCTCATGCTAAGTAATATATAAAATGTTTAAATAATGAGCTTCGCTTGTCGTGGACAGAAATTGGTTTAGGCGATTAGCCCTATGAGACATAGTGTGAGAATTATTTACATCGTTAGCTCGGGTAACGGTATATAAGAGCCTAAGTGTTGGTTATTTTTTTCTTTTTCACCAATTTCTATTGCTGGTTTAGAATAGATTGTATGTAAGGACAGAATCAAGATTTGTGGAGATAATCACCAAGACATCATTTGAGAAAGACACCTCTAGTAAATATTTGGGTAAGCTGTTCCACCAATTTGAAATGTAGGTCTTCACATTACTCGCAGACTAAA